AATTTAAAACTTGTGAATTATTTATTTCTGGAATTTTCCATTTAATATTTTTGAGCTGCAATTGACAATGAGTAATTGTACCATAGAGAGCAAGACCTGGGATGAGCAGGGACTATTGCATTAAGTCTATGGTTTCCTAGGTTCAAGTGACTGTCACATAATTATATACTTTATGCTCAGTTCTCCTCCTTGCCATTCTATTCCTCAGCTGCCAACCTTCCAACTTTCTCTACCATGTCTGATCAGCACCTCTCTATCTACCTGGAGAACACAAAGGAATCGATCAAAAAACATGATCCTGCCTTCCAACTCCTGCTCAGCTACAAGAATTTGGTCTCAGTGTCAGCACATACCTAATCCCTCCTCTCTAACCAGTGCAGGCAGACTTTTCTTCTTCCTGTTTGCCAAAAGCAGAACAAGAATCCCAGTCACTTGTTCTTCAGGAAAGAGGAAGATTTGTTTGTGTTCCACAGGAAAGACCAAGCCTTGCTGCAATCAGGAAGTGGCTGAGCCTCCACCCAGGCCTAGCAGTCCTGGCAGGTGTGATCTTTAACCTGGATCCCCATCCAAGATCTTAGAGACAGGAGCCCTGCAGGTGACGAGCAGATGGCCCCAGCCAGTGATCCAGTAGTTTGGGTAGGCAGTTTTATGGCTTTTCCAGCTCTAAAAAGCTGCTACTGAAATTGCCATGGCCACTGCCTTTGATCAGTCTAAGCCTGTGGACAGTTGTTTCTCTCCTATTAGCGACCAAGGTCCCCCCACGGCATGTGGGCTCCAACTGCCAGGTCTGGCTGCAGTCTGAGCAGCAATGGGTGTGGGGCCAGGAGTGCAGGGGTGAGGGAGAACAGGGAAACTGGGCACAAGGAATCTAATGAAAACTTCATCCCTGACTTTTCCTCCTTGGACTGAAAACCAGCTGCAGCCCACTGAGTCTGTGCTCCCAAATGGAACCCATGTTGAAGTGGAACTCAGTACCCCAGAGCATCTTAGTGGCATCTCCATTAAGCAAACACGCTCTCCTAAGCACTAGTGAGGGATACTGCCTTTAATGAAGATAAAATTATTGCCTCAGCGGGCATGGTTGTGAAGCTGAGGCAGGAGGATCATCGTAAGTTCGAGGGCAGCCTGAGCTACGTAGCAAGTTCAGGACCAGCCTGAAATACATACTAAAATATTGTCTCAGAAAGCAAGCAAGCAAGCAAGAAAGAAGTGGGGGGGGGCGGGGGAAGGAAGCCATCATTGAACAGTATCTTTACATTTATTTTTAACAGGCCACAGGGCCTAGGGCAACTAGGATCTGCATGACTTAGAAAGCTGCAGCGCCGTTATATCAATTTTTTCTGTCACCAAACGGTTTTTCATCCCAACCTAATTTAAAAGGTCCATTTGTTAAGGCAAAGGACAAAGTGAATGTATCAGCTTGTGCATTCTGAACAATAAATGTCAAGCATTCATGTGTGCAAGTACAGGATCTGTCACACCTTGCTAACTAAAATTCCCCCTCTGACGCAGTCTGTACGATGTACTAGTCCTGCTCATCTCCAGGCCTGGGTCACTGTCTTTTGCTTCAGACTCCTAGTGAGCTGTGGAGCTGACTCTCTTTTTCCTCAGTTTGGTTGTGTGGTGCCTGCACACTGTGGCCCAGTTATCTGTACCAGAACAGATAGGGGCCAGGGATTTAGCTCAGTAGTTCAGCCGCCTGCCTCGCAAGCGCAAGGTCCCCAGTTTGAGCCCCAGTACCAAAATAAATAAATAAATAAATAAATAAATAAATAAATAAACAAACAAACAAACCACACCTCAGATGATATTGTTGGCAGGTAGAGTTTGCAGATGGCATACTACGCCTGCAGAAAAATATGACAAGTGAAAGAACAACATTAATTCTGTGCTCCCATAGGGAGGGAGGATAGCACAGTGGTCCCCAGGTAGAGTGGGTCTCAGTGCCCCCTTGGTGACACTGGTCAATGTCTGGAGACATTTTTGCTGTTGTGGCTTGGAGAGGAGAGTGATTCTAGTGGTATCTAGTTGGTAGAGGCCAAGGATACTGCTAATCCCTTACAAGGCATAGGATGGTCCCCACAAGAAATTATACACCCCCAAACCCAACAGTGCCAGGGCATCTGCATTTGAGTCGTTGTTGTGCACTGTGTGACCCCAATTTAGCCATTTAACCTTCCTGAGCCTTGGCTTGCTTATCTGTATAGCAAGCCGATGACAATCGCTCACACTGCTGCATATCAGTACCAGATGCCACTCTACACGGTATTTCATTCCCTCCTTCTAGCATCCCTGTGAGGTCCGCTTATTTCATTTATAGATGAACTAAATAATGAAGAGGAAACAGCACATGCTATGGACCCGGCGAGCATAAGCATTCCACTGTCACTTAGGGTTGTTTTTTTTTTTTTAATAAAAAGATAAATTGAGTTCGATCCCCAGTTTAAAAAAAAAAAAAAGATAAATTTAGCTAAGCATATTTTCTCTTCATTTCTTTGAGGCAGGATCTTACTATGTAGCCCAGAGTGGCCTCAAACTCCAGGCAACCCTCCTTCATCAGCTTCCCCAGGGCTAGAATTACAGGTGTGGCCACTACACCCCACTGGATATTTTCACCGATACCAACATTTTTGGCAGTTATGAATAAGAGACTTGGCGCTGGGTGTGGTGGTGGTGTACACCTGTGATCCCAGCACTCTGGGAGGCTGAGCCAGGAGGATTGAAAGTTTGCCCTCAGCCTAGGCAATCTGGCAATCTCCTGTACCACTAAAATCTTAAAAAAAAGGATTTATGGTGGCATAGAAACCTTCACAATGTGGTCCTCTCCTGTCTCTAGCTCTACTGCAGTCACACTCTGCCTCAGGACCTTTGCACTTGCTCTTTTCTCTATGTAGCCAAAGGTAGGTATTTCCTCTGTTTAGGTCTCAGCTCAAATGTCACTTGATCTGGGAGACCTTCCCAGAACATCCAGTGCAATACTATGCACTCCACTTCTTCACACTATGTATACACTCTTTTCCTTTTTAATTTTAGTTAGCAATTGCCTGACATAATCATTTAATACCTGTCTCCAGCCAGGCATGGTGGCACATGCCTGTAATCCCAGAACTCAGGAGGCTGAGGCAGAAGGATTGGCTCAAGTTTAAGGCCAGCCTGGGCTACACAGATTTCAAGGCCAGCCTGAACTATACAGCAAGACCCTGCTCAATGCTCCCCGCCAAAAAAACCCCAAAACACTATCTCCCCAACTAGAAGAAAAACGCTGTAAGCACAGAACTTGATTGTTCACCGTGTGGCCCCAGCACCTAGCATGGAGCTGGCCCTCTAGCCATTTGCCATGTGTTCAGAGAGTCCGTAACTATCTATGTCTCCGGCCCAAATGAAACTGAAGTAAAAGAAATAAACGTAAGTAAAATGGAGACAAAGGAAACTTATAACTAAAAAATTGTACTTAAAAAATAAAAGACTAACTATGACAAAGTTACCTCAGGGTATCCATATACGTTTCCTTGATTAATTTATGCTCCTTTCCTTCCAGACCCATTACACCCAAAATTCCTGAAGCATATCGTAAGCCCATAAATTGGCTAAAAGAAGAACAGGAACCTGATCCTCAGATAAAGGAACAGGTTGCAGGAATTAAAAGAATGCTTAAATTATCCATCTTAAAACAAAAAACTGGGCCCACACCTGTAAAATGGGCCAGGACCCTACTGCGGAGGGGCACACCTTCTGGGATTTCCACCCTGACCAAAGAAGCATAAATGTTCCCAGGTCCGGGAAATCACGCACCTCTCCTTTCTTGAGAGCCTGCACTCTGAGTGCATACTGCTACAATTCTAATAAATTCTTGTATGCCTCGTTCATGCCTGAAAATTCTTTTTCCACGATAGCTGTCACAGAACCCTCGAAACATAACCTGCGGGTTTAGGTCCTCGTTTCTGCTTTGGTGACAACATCTGCTGGCCTAGCACGAAATTCTTTTCCTTGGGTTACTTTTCCCATAATTTGGCAGAGACAGAGTTGGAGACACGGCTCAGCCGCCACCGAGGGGCCTCACATCCCCCTTCATCTCCTATGTGAAGGAACCAAGAGCCTAGAGGAGCGGGGAAGGGCCCCAGCTCCGCCACCCTGTGATGCCATGGGCCACGCTTAGGACACTCAAGCCCAGTTTGAGAGGCGAACAAAGAGCGCTGGGAGTCATCCTGAAAGGGAACTGAGTGGATAACGCGACCCAGTTGGGGTAAAAGCACTCGCTGAAGCCTTGGCCCAGGCGTCTGGAGACGCCGCCGCGAAGGCTGCTGGCGCGGACCCCGAGTGGCACTGCTGAATGGAGCCAAAGGGACTGAGCCCGGCCCTTAAGAGGGGCTCTTGGCAGCTTTGCTTTTGAGTTGGCACAACTGTGCCCCACCAGGGACTGAAAATGCACATCAGTGTGAACCAAGAGCAGCAGAGAGTCCTTTAACCCAGCCGGGACGTCGCCAACTGGACAACTCGCTAAAGAAAAGGACACGGGGCATTCATCATGGCTGCCGGCGACGGCACAGCTAGAGGTAACCTAAAGGAAATGGCGCCGGGCGCGCGGCCAGTCTCGGCGGCCCTCTTGCCTCGCCGCCAGGAGCCGCCGAGGTCACCAGGGGGGCCAGCCGAGGAATACTTTCCTGGCTTTTGGCACCTGGCAAACTCCGAAACTATAACATGGAGGACAGGTATTGTCTCGGCAGTGACTCGCACCCGCAGGCCCCAAGTTCCGTCCCGCGGCGGAATCCGGCAAAATCCTCTATTCTCTAAACCAAATGTACTACGCTTACTGCGCATCTCTGCAATAGCAAGCCGGCTAACGACGCAAAGAATGTTACGTCGCAACGGAGGCTCCCCCCCCCCGCCCCACCCCACGTTCTAGTTCGGGCGGCGAGAGAACTTCACGCCCGCTCCGTAGTTTGGTTTTTTTGTACGAACTGCAAAATGCGCCCGTCTCCGCAACTGACGTAAAACGCTTCCAAGAATATTCGTAACGCCCCGAGAAGGCCTCGGGCGATTCCTAGACCCTGCTTACGTATCGTCTCCGCCGTACGTAGCGTTAAGTTGGAGCAGTCTCAGAGGCGGCCGCCATTTTGTGCAGTCGCTGGGAAGGAAGGAGACGCCTAGACCGCGGCGCTGCCGGGTTTGAGCGTAGCCAAACCTACCCATCGCTTTTATAACCCCGATTCTCTGTGTTTTGCTCCCGTCTCCGACGAGAGAGGCGGCGACGGTGGCGTCTGCGACGGGAGACAGCGCGTCGGAGCGAGAAAGCGCCGCGCCTGCCGCCGCCCCAACAGCGGAGGCGCCGCCGCCATCGGTCGTCACCAGACCGGAGCCGCAGGCCCTCCCGAGCCCGGCCATCCGTGCCCCGCTCCCAGATCTCTACCCATTTGGGACCATGCGCGGAGGCGGCTTTGGGGACCGGGACCGGGACCGGGACCGTGGCGGGTAAGGGGGGAGGCTGCTGGGCACGAGGCCGACGATGCCGCTCGTGGACTGGGGGAGGGGGCTGTTTCCCGAGGGCGGCGCGGGCTCCGCGGTACAATGGCGGCCTCGGGCTCGGGCTGCTGGGGGCCCGGCGGGGAGGGGCCCCGTCTCGGGGAGCGAGAGGGGGCCCCTGGCCGCTGTGGGCCGGTCATTTGATCGTCCCGCGCCGCAGCGACCGTCGAGAAAAAACGCAGACGCCCTTGTGCAGTCTCGGGATATCCAGCGCGAAATGGCTTCCTTTACGTGACGTCCCCAGCGATCGCTGTCAGGGGAATCTAAAAAACCGGCTGCTGCTTTCGGTTTTATTTCTGCCTCTGTGGATTGAAACCTGAACTTGAACTCTTGCTGGGCAGTCGTTGTACCATTACTGCACTTGTGATTTTAAAAAACAGATTTTTTAAATCCCCTTTAGTTATATTTTGTATAATTCAAAGGAAGCACATGTAAAAATGTAATGTAGTGGGCCGGGGTGGGGGGGAGTAGCTCAGTGGCGCCGTGCCTCCCTGGCAAGCACAAAATAATAATAATAATAATAATAATAATAATAATGTAGTGGAGTCGCTTGCTATCTGTAGTGTTGGGGAAGGGAGGGTTTGGATAGTTGGGGAGTGTCGTAATTTTTAACAACTTTATATTTTTACCCTTATGTGTTGCAGCGTTCGGCTTAGCCAGGAAGGTTTTGATGTTGTAATGCCACGGTTGCACCATCAGGGATGGAAAGTTAACAGGATTAAACCTGAAGCTCCCAAACTGAGATTTAGGGCCTTTTCATGTCAGCTGAGTGACTGCCTTGATTAAGAGATACATTTACGCGTTCTACCAGTGTTTAAATTATAAAAGTGGTATCTGGATAAAGAGCACCTTTATACCACTTTTGTTTTCTTTTTTTGAGATGAGGCCTCACTGCCTCAGCCTTCCTAGTGAAGTGTTGGGATTACAGGCGTGTGCTACTACGCCTATCGGTTACACTGCTTTTAAAGTACTAATTGGGCACATCCTTAATTTTTGTAATCTCATTTTTTTTTTCAGCTGAAGGAGAGTATATTGCTGTGTTCTTGGGAATGACAAGAAAATGTGTGCAATTGTCCCACTGTAGTCAGTGTTCAAAATACTCTTCCCAAACATTTAAGTTTCAAATGGACAAGTAGTAGACTTACTAGTCACAAGTGCTTCAATTGTCACTTAATTTACAAAATAAGAACTATTTCCAGTTTCCAGTTAGGAAGAGAGAGCTCTGCTCTTTTGTGAGATTTAGAGAGGGGCGCTAAAAGTGGAATGTTCATTTAGCATTTCACAGTTGAGCAAAGTTTATTGTACTTACGTACTTTTTTTTTTTTTTTTTTTGACACAAGGTCTTGGTGTGTAATTCAGGCTGGCCTTGAAACTCAGTATGTAGCCCAGGCTGCCCTGCAGCTCAGGGTGATCCTCCTGCCTCAGCCTCCTGATTACAGGCATGCGCCACCATACCCAGCTAGTTGAGCAAATTTTAGAAGTAAATTTCAACACAGCCACCTAGAAAATACCTAGTAAACTTGAAAGTGACCCAGTAACTCTCAGTTTTATACCCTAGTCCAGGCTTTAAAGATGTGTGCCCCAGGAGCCATGTATAAAAATATTTATGCCAACATTGTTGGTGAGAATAGCATATTCAGAACAACTCTGTGTCCCAATGAATTGTGGGTATTTATATATTTGCATATAATACAACAGTGAAAAAGGAAAAAAACTTGGATCCTCTTAGATGGCTGTCATACATGTTGAGTTTTTAAAGTAGGTTGACCTAGTTAAGGGGATAGGCAAATAGGACAGAACTATAAAAACTGGAGGAATGGTTAACAGAATTCAAGGTGGTTGTTAATGGTGGGGGTGTGAACTTGGAAGAGGCACTTGGAGGCTCCCAATGTACTGATAGTGATGTTCCATTTACTGTAGGTAATATTTAACCATAAATGATTTAATAATTACTACTTGAAAAGAGAAATGGTGAATTTTGACCCATATCCCATGTTGAGTATCAGATGACATGTAAAAAAACAGTTTTTTTAAAGCCCCAGACAAAATTGCACTCTTTGATAAGGTCTGTTCCTTATCTACCTTCACTTGCATTTTCCTTCTTGATTTGAATTTCTTTTGTTTCACTCTTAAAGTTACAAAGCTGTATTAGTTGGAAATAGAATGGGTGTGGTCAGCATATACATCCAGTCCATTGGATGTGCATTACACACTTAAACTAGTATGGTTTTGCATGTTAATACATGGATTTTCAAGTCTTGAAAGCTGAATTTATTGTATAGCCAAATTTAACTGCTACTCACTTGATAACATTAATGAACAGCAAAGTGTACCAGGAAGTAGGCTATATTAACAGTGGCATGGATAACTACAGGGGTAAAAAGGCTCCCTGAAATTTTGATGTCAGTATTATAAACAAGTAAGGCAGCATATTTTCTAAAAGCCTCGTATTTTTACTTGAACCTTTAGAACAGCACAATAGTACCCAGTATTTCTTGAAGAGGACCTACTTAGAGTTCTTTCACCTGGGAGGAATGGTCAGTTCAGATGGCCTTTGGTTTATGTACTGTTCACTGGAAGCCTGAGAAAATGTTACTGATGTATGTACTTTGATGCTTTTCCTGTTTTTTCCTTTCTCTAACTGGTTCAGCAGCAGTATAGGTGGTGTCTGTTTATTGAGTGTAGATAACCAGAATGCCCACAAAATCTCCTGCCATATATCTGTGCAATTAGAGAAATAACTAACTGGTATTTTAAGTTCAAGAGTTCTAATGGCTTGAATTACAGGAAATTGAAGCTCTTTAAGATAGCTACTGCTCTTTAAGATAGGCACCATAGCAGATGCCTATAATCAGCACTTTGCAGGGCTGAGGCAGGAGGATCGCAAGTTGGAGCCCACCCTTGAGAACTTAGCAAGACCCTGTCTCAAAAGGGCTGGAGATGTAGCTCTGTGCATAGGCCCTGAATTTAGTCCTCAGGCTGAGAAAAATAAACACTTTCTACAAGGTGTTATGAGTCAGAGTAGGAAAAGCAAATTCAATATTTTACAAGGAGTAAGGAAGTAGGATGAAAAAAATACCCTTAGAGTTTATATGTCAAACAAAGCCTTCCCCTTTACATAGAGTGATATAGGGAAATCTTAGTGTTAGAGGCCATCTTAGTGTTAGAATTCTTCTAACATTTCAGGTTTGGCTAGTGGCCACATTGGTATTTCCATTTAGCTTGCTTGTTGTAAAGGATATATTTTAAAAATCCAGATTTGGGTTTTTAAAACCTTAAATATGGTTTATTTAGGTAGGTGGGTGTTTTTTTTTTTTTTTTGGTACCAGGGATCAAACTCGTTAAATATGGTTTATTGATGGTTCCTCCTATAAATTAATTCTCCTGCAAGTTAAAGTTGTTCTGGCTTCCTTGTTACTATAGATTAAAGGTAAAGACCCCCACTAGACTTTGATAGGTCCCAGTAGTTTCCCTTTGCACATTAGTAGAGCAGAAGTGTTCTTATGGTCTAAGAGGAGAGGGGATATGAGAAGTTGTTCAAAATTTGGGGAACTTCCTTGAAATGTATTTTTCTCCCATCCACGACAGTCCCCTTAATTTAAGCTTTAATTTTCTCCTCTCTTACACAAGAGATTGATGTTTTATTCTCTTTAGTATCTCTAGCACCACATAAACAGTATGTTTGTTGAATGAATAGATGCAGTTGAGTGTTAGCTGCATCAGATACTGTTTGAAACACACATTCATAAGATGGGAGGAACATGCTGTAGTATCCTAAGAGTCCATTTATTTGCACTTTTTTGGGGCACAAAAGATAACACTGCTTTAAAAATACTAACGAACTAAAAATTCTTGCTGTTTCTAGATTTGGAGCAAGAGGCAGTGGTGGCCTTCCCCCGAAGAAATTTGGTAATCCTGGGGAGCGTTTACGGAAAAAGAAGTGGGATTTGAGTGAGCTCCCCAAGTTTGAGAAGAATTTTTATGTTGAACATCCAGAAGTGGCAAGGCTGACTCCAGTAAGTTTTTGTGTGTGTTTTACTTTTTTTATACAAATAAATGAAACAAGTAGAACTATTGGCCAGAATTTACTTGTTGCTGTTTTATTCTTTATTATAGCATAGAGTACTTAGATTCTTATAGCTGAGCTCCAACCCTGGAGCTTTTTTTTCCTTTTTGTATAATGCTGGGGATGGAACCTAGGGTCTTGCGCATGTTAGGCAAGAGCTCTACTGCTGAACTATACTCCTACTCATGGGTACTTAGATTGTTAAGAAGACCACTTGATACTCATAAGAGGGACCAGTTTAAGTACACATATAAAATGTATTTATTGCTTGGTGTTTGCTTTTTGATTATTTTAAAATGTATTTCTTATACATGGTTTTAGCTGCGTATTAGGTCATGTCTTCATTTTTGAGGTAAATTTTAATAGTAAACTAACATTGTGTACCTCTAACTTCATGATTATTTTGGACTCTATGAAGTGGTTGCTTATTTAGAAAAAAAAATAATTTAAAAGCACACCTGGCCCCACTTACCAAATACTCTCGCCCACTTCCTAGTTCTAACCTTAAATGGAAATTACTTGTTCGCGTGCTCGTGTGTGTGTGTGTGTGTGTGTGTGTGTGTGTGTGTGTGTGTGTGTGTGTGTGTGTGTGTGTGTGTGTGTGTTGTTTGCATAGAACGGAACCTGCAGCCCCTGTATTAACTCACAAGGTTAGGAGAATTGTCACAAAGTTGAAGTGGTATACTACACGTGAAAGCATTATATAGACTTAGCATTGTTACTATGGGTTGGGTAATAATTAGTTTGATTGGCTAATAAAACTTTTGGATATGGGCAGTAACTTTTACTAATTCATCTTCCATTTTTTCTGCTAGTATGAGGTTGATGAGCTACGCCGAAAGAAAGAGATTACAGTTCGAGGGGGAGATGTTTGTCCTAAACCTGTCTTTGCCTTCCATCATGCTAACTTCCCACGTAAGTGTTTTTCAAGAAGTGTTCTTCAGATTCTTGATTATTAAATTTTGTTGAGTGGTAAACATAAGTAATAGGTTATTTAAGGGTTTTAGAGCTGGGTGTGATGGTGTACACCTGTGCACTTGGGAGGCTGAGGCAGAAAGATCTATCAGTTCAAGGTTCAGTCTGGACTACATAACAAGACCTTGACCCCGCCTTAGGATTTTGTTGAAAAGACAAGTAGAGGGCCGGGGATTTAACTCAGTGGTTTCGCCGCCTGCTGCTCAAGCGCAAGGACTGGAGTTGGATCCCCAGTACCTCCCCCCCAAAAAAAGATATTTGTCAAAAAAAAATGGAAATGAAATATATGTAAATAGGGAAGGGCAGAGGGGGTGAAGGGTGCACAGGTAACGGGGGGGGGGGAATAAGAACCAAGATGTATCATGTACAGGTACACCCAATGATAAATGTAAACAAATTATATACCTAAAATGTGCCAATAGAAGAACTAAAAGAAAGAAAAGACAAGTAGAAACCTTTCGAAAAGGTAGTAACTTATTTTATATAATGGTTTCAAAAAATTTTTAAGCTGCTTAAGGTTAGTGGTAAATATGTTGGTTCATAAGAATTTTTTATGCTTGGGCCAGGGATTTAGCTCAGTGGTTCCAGCACCGGCCTCAAGCACAAGGTCCCGAGTTGGATCCCCATTACCAAAAAAAAAAAGTCTAAGAATTTTTTATGCTTATCTGCTATCAAGATTAAGGAGTCTTTTTTGTTTGTTCACTTATCTATGGTTGCCCCTCCCTTGTACAAAACAGCGGAATGAAACTACTTTCCAGCTGAATATAAGAAGAATATGCCAAACAGTGTGACTGTTGTATGCCTGTGCCATTAGATGTAAGATAAGGGCCTGGGATTTAGCTCAAAGTACAAGGTCCCGAGTTCAATCGCCAATACCAAAAAAAAGATGTGGTAGGATAGCGGTTTTGAAAGGTAGTGATGAGCTGGATGTAGATTCCATTTTTTTAAAAAGACGGTAATGTTTATTTTCTTACAGAATACGTAATGGATGTGTTGATGGATCAGCACTTTACAGAACCAACTCCAATTCAGTGCCAGGGATTTCCATTAGCTCTTAGTGGCCGGGACATGGTGGGCATTGCTCAGACAGGCTCTGGGAAGACATTGGCGGTGAGTACCAGCAAGTGGAAATCTTTGACATTATTTTACTATCCTAACTGTCACAAAAGTATAATTCAGTAGTGTAATATGTTCGCTATCCAATATATGCGCATACTTTATGTTCAAATGTGTATTGCACAAGAGATGAGAGTAGTGGATTCTGTTTTTCATACTGATGTTTTGGCATTATTACTGTTTTTAAGTTAGGATATTAAGATGATGACTTGGTTTTGGTGTAAGATTTTGTTCTCTTTCCTCCCCAGTATTTGCTACCTGCAATTGTTCATATTAACCACCAGCCATACTTGGAAAGGGGAGATGGCCCAATTGTAAGTGTTTTATTCTGTTTATAATTTTTAAGAATAACTACAGCTGAATGATTACTGTATTTTAGGCACTGCTTTACTCACATTGTTCAATTTGATTTTTAAGCCCACCTACCGTCTATATCTACACAGGGTACAGTGGACCCTTGACTTAAAAACTCAATTCATTCCCAAGGGCTGGTTGTAACTCGAGTTGGTCATTTGAAAGTAGAGACATTGGCCCAGGATTTCTCAATTAACCCCACACAGGAAAAGATGTGGTAATGTTCCTTCCAGAACTCTTTAAATCAATATATGAGACCATCTGGAAGCACAAGTGGCTGGCATTTGGGTTGTAACTCAGGACTTTGTTTGTAAGTTAAAACTACTGGCCGTAACCCAAGTTCATATGTCAGGCTGGTCATAATTTCAGGTGTAACCCCATTTTGGGATTAAATGACTTGCCCAGTCACATAGAGCATCAGATGGCTTATCTTGGGTCTGAACCATCCTTACCCTTAAGTGGTAATTTAGCAACATACTGCATTCATTTGTCGGGGGAGCATGGCAGGATCTCACTGTGCAGTTTAACTCACTGTGTAGTCCAGACTGGCCTCAAGCTCACAGCTATCCTCAGACTTCAGAGTGCTATAGGCATGCACCACCACACCCAGCACCTTCATTATTTTGAGATAGGGTCTCATGAACTTGCCAGCCTCAGCCCCAGAGGGCTAGGATTATAGGTTTGTAGTGCCACACTCAGTTTGCTCTGCCATATTTCTTATTTGTGCCAGTATTTAAACCATGGTTTTATTGCAGGACTATTTTGAACCCACTTGTGCATTTTGTGAGTTGTGTAGTTATGCTAGGTCAGGGATAGTGAACCTTTTAGAGCTTTCAGTGATAACAAATAGGCCATTGTTGCATGCGTTCCATAGGTTCACCACCACTACACTAGGTAATGCAATCTAGAAATCAATTTACATGGTACGTGTAGACTAATGAGCGATATGCCTAAAAAGTCAAGGGATGCAGCCAGCAGTAGCTATATACTAAAGAACAAATGGTCATCACTTTTTACCTACACTCCAGTGTAGTTGTATTTAAGCCTCCTGACCTCCCAATCTCCCACCCTATCACATACCTTAAAAAGTATTAGTAGGGGAAGAGTTAATTACCTTTTTGTACTTTAATGTTTCTGGGGTTTGTTTGTTTTAACTTGGCCTGGGTGTCTCAAGTGGATTTTTTTTTTTTGTTTGGCCTGTTTTAGTGTCTAGTTCTGGCTCCTACCAGAGAGCTTGCTCAGCAAGTACAGCAGGTAGCTGATGACTATGGCAAGTGTTCAAGATTGAAGAGTACTTGCATTTATGGAGGTGCTCCTAAAGGCCCCCAGATTCGAGACTTGGAAAGAGGTAATTTGATAAAAATACTTTTGTGAATAAGAATGGTTTATCTTGTAGCAATTTGTGTATGAAATTGAAAAAGTAATAGGCTCTTGTGAGGGGAAAAAATCAGTATTACAGAAGCTTAGAAATTCTCAGATACGGTTGTTAGCTAGTTAGGGAGAGGACATTCACCTTAGCCTGGAGACTTTGTAAGATTGATGGTTGTGGTTGAGTTTTTCTAACATTATATTTTTGGAGCTGCTGCTCTGTAGTATGTGTGCAAGATCACCAGAGCTCGTGTTCTGGTTTGTGTTCAGGTTTAGATAGTGGATAAAGAAAGAATTCCTAATGAGCCAGATCTTTATTATGCTTTACAGGTGTTGAGATCTGCATAGCTACTCCTGGACGCCTGATAGATTTCCTGGAGTCAGGAAAGACAAACCTTCGCCGCTGTACTTACCTTGTTCTGGATGAAGCTGATAGAATGCTTGATATGGGCTTTGAACCTCAGATCCGTAAAATTGTTGACCAAATCAGGGTGTGTGAGGTGTATCATGCCTTTATACCTTTTGACTGTTAATACATAGTTCCTTAGCCTAAAAGACTCCTTTCCTGATAGCCCGACAGGCAGACATTGATGTGGAGTGCAACCTGGCCAAAAGAAGTAAGACAGCTTGCAGAGGATTTCTTGCGTGATTATACTCAGATCAACGTGGGGAATCTGGAGTTGAGTGCCAACCACAACATCCTTCAGATTGTGGATGTCTGCATGGAAAGTGAAAAAGACCACAAGTATGAAAGATTTCACTCTGTTAGGATAATACTGATAAATCATTCCCGATAATTCTCCAAAATTAGAGTGTTAGAGAAGCCGGTATTTTTTGAGGCCTAAAAAAATTAAAAACACTGCTGGCTTTCTAATAATCCATTCTTTGTGTCAGAAATAGGAGTGTCTTGGATTTGAATCCTGGTTATAAGTAGTGTAGCTTAGGGAGTTAGTATTGAAATGGTCTACTTAATATATGGGGAGATCTTTCTGTATGATGACTGTATTGTTGGTCTTGTTCAGATTGATCCAACTGATGGAGGAAATAATGGCTGAAAAAGAAAATAAGACCATAATATTTGTGGAGACAAAAAGACGCTGTGATGACCTCACTCGAAGGATGCGCAGAGATGGGTGAGTATAGCACTAGAATAGTTGGTCTGGGGTTTTATAGTAATGGTGATTTCTAAATTGGTATTGCACATTCTGTGTAGAATTTTAATCATGACTTATACAGTGTTTTAATACAGCCCTTCTTTCAGTTTGTACCTTTGAGACGGGGTCTTGCTAAGTTGTCCAGGCTTGGCTCAAACTTGATTTGATTCTCTGGCCTCCACCTCCCAGAGTGCTAGAATTACAAATGTGTGCCACCATGCTTGTCTTTAAGTGAATACAGTTGTCTGTTTATGTACCCTAGCCTTAGCAAAACAATGTAATAACTTTAAGAAACTTAATTTTCCTCTTTAAATTTTAAAAATTTCTAAAATGTTTGTTGTTTTCTTCTGATAGTTGGCCAGCTATGTGTATCCATGGAGATAAGAGTCAACCAGAAAGAGATTGGGTACTTAATGGTAAGTTTAAAACTAAATGTTGTCAATGGATTTTTGCCTAAAAATCTATAAAAGCCAAATAGTAAATATTTTGGCTTTGTAGACTTAATAGTGGTCTCTGTTGCTGGCCATATAAAAGTTATGACCTGAGTGAGTTCAAGCAAAGCTTTATTTGCAAAAATAGGTGATACGCTGGATTTGTCCTGCCCTAGTTAATTGAACACTTTAATTGAATACTTTTAATTGAATACTTTTGACATGGCTCCAAGGCCCTTTAAAGTTCATATGCTGGCTCTTAATACTTTCATACAACGTAAGATCTTCCCCTTATTTTTTGTAAGTTCTTGCCTTTATCCTTTGGGAAAAGTTTGGCAGTTAAATGTTTTAAAGAAAAATCTTTAATCAGTCATATTTTAGCGTATTTCTTTTGAGTCCTCTTGTTTTTCACACCCACTGTGTTATGAGAAGGCCTATTGAGTAAGTCAGAGAGACAATATTTAGAAATAATATACAAGCCTTTTGGGGGAGAGGTGTTTTCTCCTTTCATTCCACATCTTAATGCTGTCACTAAGCTTTGGCTTGATTTTATATATATATAACTTGGCTTTTTTTTTTTCCTTCAGAGTTCCGTTCCGGAAAGGCTCCCATCCTCATTGCCACAGATGTAGCCTCCCGTGGGCTAGGTTTGTATAGATAGGTGTCTCTCTCAATGTTTTGTGTATCTTTTGGTTTAAAGATTTGTTTGAAATTAGAGTTGTATATACATCTGTTTAGTAAAAAAGAGGAAAATATATAGTGGGGTTTTGTCCCCTCCCCCACTATTTTTTTAATCTTTAGTTTTGGGGGGCGGTGTTTTGGTTTTTTTCTTCCCCTTTTATTTTCAAAGTCTCTTCCTGCTCCTAACAAACAGGCTTTGGTCTGCAGTAAGGCCTAGGCATGACTATTCAGTTAGAGGGAGAAGAGACACTCAGTTGAACATTTAGTTTAATTTCTTCCTGGTTAAGTCTTATTTTCTGGCTGGATAGAAGAAGCCTGATGGAACCTAGCTATCATGAGATACTTCATCATTTTATCTGTTATATATAGAGAGGCCAGATTCTATGAATGTTTAATTATTAAATGAGGTTTAATAAGTCCATAATGTTTCATTCAATTAAATCTGCATTGCCCAGTATTATTTGCTGAAGTAAATTAATGTGTGCTCTCAGTTACCCCTTCCCACCCATACTTGTATCCGAGATGTGTTGATTCTGAGAGCTTAATCAGAAGGTGTTCTGAAGGTTTTGACCCATTATAATCAATACTGTGGTACTTTAGCCCGTCATTCTGAGTTAAACAGGTCTGACTCAGAACTTTTATATTTAAAAAAAGATGATTTGTATCACTAGGAAATCTTCAAACTGTTGACAGTAATTTCTTGTCCAGTAAGTTGAGAAGCGCCATATTCCCATATACCAGTTAGAGAAAACAAGTATTTAGACTGGACTAAAAAGTGGTGGAGCCTTTTTATCCATTGGACTTATCATTCCCTCCTTCAGAGGTGGTGACCTGCAGCCATGACAGAGTTGTCTCTGCCCTCTGAGGTCATGTCTGGAGCTGTGCCGTTAGAACTTGGGCCTGTTGGGAGAGGAGGCGGAGGCCTGAAAGCAGTTCACACAAAAGCTTTCAGTGATGGTGGTTTTTAAACAGGCTTGCTATGTGCTGGTAGCTTCTTTGTGCATCTTGCCTAGACAATTAAAAATATTTGCTCCATGTTCCCCTGTATTTCTAAACCAAATCAATTGGCTACCATTAGAATAACTTAGACTCTTCATCCTGCCCCCCTCTCATCCAAGTGAGGGGAGAGGGAAGGTACCTGAGTCTGTTTCTTGTTACTCAACATCAGTGTTTACTTTGGGCCCCTTTATTTGCTGCCTTGTAAAAATCAAAGGAGGGAGAAAACCCACCAAAATGGCAGAATTCTGACCAAGGTCCTACAAGATCCTGGAAAGTGAAGGCTTCTACCTCATAGACAGGGGTGCGATTTTCAGCTGAGTCACCAGGCCTTTTTTCCCTTCCTGTCAAGCGATGGTCTCTTAAATGTTCCCTTCAGGTAAGTTCTTTGATTCCCCTAATTTTATAATAGTCATCCTCAGGCAACCATGATGCCCTTTCCACTGGGATCTTTTTAATTTCTCCTTTTTTGTTTAAGCTACACACTGTTAAAATAAAAGTATTGAATTTAATTTGTTTTGTTTTTTAACAGAAGCTTTGCTATCAGCTGCAGATCACCCAATACATGGCCGAGGCAAATCTACATTGGCCCGAAGCAGCTCTAGATGAGCCTGTTTGGCTAGTCTGAGACCCTCCCAGTTAGTGATTGGAGATACAGGCCATGTTGTAGGGCTTTCCAGACCAAAGGTTCTTATTGCTGGCCAGAACGTTCACTTTTCTATTTCTTACCCTGCTACAGCATCTCCTATAAAGGCAGCAAGATAATACTGTGGCAGTTGATAAATAACTACAGGGCAGGCCTGCCTGGAGAAAACCAAAGCCTGCTCTTGCCCTCACCTGCCCCTGGCTAGCCATGTACACGCACAGGACAGTCTTCTAGTGTGAAGAATTTGCATCATGTCCACCCCTTTGAGTCCTGCCAGAAGTGCCCTCAAGCATTAGTATCTGAACTGTTGACTGCAGCCCCAGTGCCTTCTAGGAAATACTGTGCATCCAGTACAGTAGCTCTGCTTCCCACAGTCACATTCCGTACAAGTGACTTGGAAGCATTAACCTAGCTCAGAAGATTACGGTCATGGAATATAATACCCTGTACTCCCACCCCGCCCTTAACATCCTTGCTGGTCTTGTAGTTCTTTTTTCTTTGTAGCATCAACGACCCTAGCCTGAGACTCACGCTGCCCCCTGTGATAAGTGCCTTCTCGTCTTTCTGGTGTGATTCAGGACTTTAGGGGTCAGTAACGACCGAGGAGCCTTTATTGTAATAAGAAACAGACATAATGCCCTTTCTTCACAAGCCCTACAACAACGGCTGAATTTTTTTTTTTTTTTTTTTTTCAATCATCTCCCCTTTCCCCTGAAATTATTCCAGTCTGGGCAATAGATGCAGTCTGACCCTTTGGATGTAACTTACATTTTTTTATTAATCATTTTTTTCTACAATCACCCCAATTACCTTGGGGGAGGCGTTGGAGGACCTGAAATTTTTACCCGAACCCAGGTTCTCCGGCGCTTGGCAACCAAATGGGGCTACAGAGAAGCATCTAAGCCAGTTCACAGAGCGAGCGTGTGTGGGGACTTCTCACTGCCATGGACCCTTGATGCATGCTCCCCGCGCTCCAGTGGTCCCGTGTCAGAAGGCGGAGTTTTCGAAAGGAGGCCGCCAAAAATAAAAGGCAAAGAGACGGGATCGGCTGCAGCGGTTTCCCAAAGGAGGAGGGAGTGTGCATCGGTCTGGTAACAAACAGAGAATGTTTTTTAATTACTTATATCACAAAAATCTGTGTTTTATCTAGGATATTTTCTGAATATTCTTTGTAAAATGCAGATTTTTTTCCACAAAACATTAGGATTCTGTTTATTAAACTTGTTTGTTTTAAGTAGGTAAAAAGAAAAAGTACATTTAGCTGAAAGCATTACACTAACATTTACATGATTTAAGTATTAGGTTATTCAGCCCAATTCCCAGCAGTGGACAGAATATCAAACTTATGTCTCAAGGTTTCATGGTTTTCCCACATTCTTTGGCTATTAATTTCCCAGGTTACAGAGACTATCTTGATCATTGAAACAAGTACAAAGTCTGAGATAACCTTGAGTTGAGCAAAATTTTGTTTGATAGAAGCTGGGCTTGGTAGTATAGTCAAATATTAGTGTAATGTGTTCTTTGGTAATTGAAAAGGGAGAAGTAATCTGGATGTTTCTGCAAAGGGAAATAGGTGTGTGCTTTGATCGGGTTTTTAATACAAAAGCGAAGAAATTAAATGTTAAGTCTCCTTGGAAATGTAGTAATAAAGTATATGAAGCTCCTTTTTTCATTTTGCTCTGTGACTGGTTTAAAGGTAAGTTTGTATGTTTTTGGTAGATTTTGCCAGGCTTCTCCCAACAGAGTAGAAGTGATTTGGCCCTGCAACTTAGTTAACTGCATTCCAGTTTTGAAAAGGATGGCCCTGGAATTTGCCAATCTGAAGACCAATCTTGGCACAACTCCTGTGTTGGTTAAATACAGAAGAGGCAGGAGTTCAGATGCTTGGATGAGATTCCCTTAGGATTTTACAGCCAGTACAGATGCAATGACCCATACATATCTCAAGAAACACTAATCCTCTTTTACTCTGTTGGGATGAGTCTTTTTTGTTCCTTCTCAGAGCGGTTACTAACTTCATCTTCTCTCCTCTTGCTGTCATCTGCATTCGTGCTTCCCACCTGTTGTTGGCATGTCCTTTACCTTCTCTTTCCGTGCCACATCAACCTACACACTGATTCATCATTGACTGCAAAGATGTGGAAGATGTCAAGTTTGTCATCAACTATGACTATCCAAACAGCTCAGAGGATTATGTGCACCGTATTGGCCGAACAGCCCGAAGCACGAACAAGGGCACTGCTTATACCTTCTTCACCCCAGGGAACCTAAAGCAGGCCAGAGAACTGATCAAAGTGCTTGAAGAGGCCAATCAGGCTATCAATCCAAAACTGATGCAGCTGGTGGACCACAGAGGAGGCGGCGGAGGAGGGGGTAAGGGTAAGTCCTGGAGTTTTCCAGGTACTGCCAAGGTATCTCTTTTTTGTGTATATTGTACCTTGTTTTTTAATCTTGTGAAGGTTCTAAGTATGTTGCTTAATAACAAAGGTGAATACTTTGTAGTTTTCATGACTTGTAAGAGAAAGCAATTGTCTTTTGTACTGCACTGCTTCTGAACATTAAGATCTAAAAATGATCTTTGAATTTTGAAGTACATGGTGCATGCTCAAAATTAAGCTAGTCTATAGTTGCTTTATATCTTCAAAATACTTAGTATATTAGGTTTTCAGTTTTCCATATGAACAGATCTTTAATTGTATGCCATTTTAGTAGAAATTGAGACATTACAGTTGATTCTACACAGTTGGAAAATTTACTGAGATCTGGACCTCCTAATTCCCAGTTTAATATGGTGAATTGTATTTCCAGGTTATTACTAGGAAAAAGGCTAGCTGGGTGTGGTATAGTCCAGATTCTCAGGAGGCAGGGGCAAGAAAATAACAAGTTTGAGGCCAGCCTTAATTCTGTTGACCCTGTTGAGAAATAAAAAGGGTTAGAGATATAGCTCAGTGGTAGAGCACTTCCATAGCATGACAAAGCCCTGGGTTCAGCTCCTAATACCACAAAAAAGAAAGGGCCTAAAAGGGTAAAAAGTTGGGTTAAGTACTGACTTAGAGTCGCTGTAGACTGGCTGAAGATCAAAAAGATCAGGGGAACGGTGTGGAATATGTCTGCCCCTTTTTAGTTTTTGATGTTTGGTTAAAATGTTTGGCCTGGGTACCTGACATTAAAAAACACCTATGTCCTTCCATCAGGAGGTCGCTCTCGGTACCGGACCACTTCTTCAGCCAACAATCCCAATCTGATGTATCAGGATGAGTGTGATCGGAGACTTCGAGGAGTCAAGGATGGAGGCCGGAGAGACTCTACAAGCTATCGGGATCGTAGTGAGACCGATAGAGCTGGTTATGCTAATGGCAGTGGCTATGGAAGTCCAAATTCCGCCTTTGGAACACAAGCAGGCCAATACACCTATGGTCAAGGCACCTACGGGGCAGCTGCTTATGGCACCAGTGGCTATACGGCCCAGGAATATGGTGCTGGCACTTACGGAGCTAGCAGCACCACCTCAACTGGGAGAAGTTCACAGAGCTCTAGCCAGCAGTTTAGTGGGATAGGCCGGTCTGGGCAGCAGCCACAGCCACTGATGTCACAACAGTTTGCACAGCCTCCGGGAGCTACCAATATGATAGGTTACATGGGGCAGACAGCCTACCAGTATCCCCCTCCTCCCCCTCCTCCTCCACCTTCACGCAAATGAGGCCACTTGAGGTGGGGCAACTTGTGCAGACTTACATTTAAAGGAACATTGTCTTTCCTTTTTTTCTTCTTCCCCTTTATTTTTTTATTTTTATTTTTTTTCTCCCAACCATTGTGATTTGCCCTTTCATGCAGATTAGTTAGAATTCACTGCCAGGTTTCTTCTCTCTGCCAAAATGGTCCAGTCTGTAATAACAGATTTTATATTAAAAAAAAAAAAGCATATATATATAACTGACTGGAAGAGATTAATTTCTTCCCCCAACTTTGCATGTTGAGGATATTTGAGCTATTTTTCATCTTAAAAGAAAAAGTAAGGTATTAGGCCCTCTCGTAGGAGCCAGTTTTTCCTTGTCCTGAGTTGGTGGGGAGGGAAGAGGGGAAGGGCTGAATTGTTCTGCAGAAGAAAATGCCATCTGTGTCGTAAATGTTCTCATCCCTGGGTTAAAAAACGGGTTTTGCTGCGCATTGCCCATAATGGTTTTTAACATCTCTCAAGTTGGGTTCGGTTCCTTGGTTTTTAAGACAGTGCTTTACCATTGTCATTTTGGCTCATGATGGCTTAAGTGCATTTGAAAATTAAAATTTCCAAATTGGTTTTGTATCCCTTATACTCTGCTTTCCCTCTCTCCCCTCCCACTTACTTGAAAAATAGCCAGTTTAGTGTCCATTTAGAAACTGAATTGCTAAGTCTACCTGTATCTTTTAAATGAACTGCAAGCATTTCTCACACTGGTTAAATTGTAGCATCTCAGCATCTGGGTGGAAGCTACCTAATTTTCTTCCCCATATAACCTGGGGAAAATATGAAATTCATTTTCTAGCCAGACAGCTGCTGTGAGCAAACAAACATACGTAAATGCTCACTGGAAATTTACTTTATTAAAACAGTTGAGTCTACGTTCACCTGCAATATAAGAAGCACCTTTATTGTGTATTCGAAATGGGCAGATTTTTGTTTTAAACTCAGTATTTTGTAGAGGTAGAGTAAGAGCAGCTCTTTGCCAGCCTCTCTACCCTTTTGGCCAAATTTTCTTGAGCAAAGACTACAGCCCTCTAGTCTCCCTTTTGTCCTCTGCAGTGCTGTATAACTGCTTCTGGGTGCACACTGTCCTCTGCATATTTCTGCACTCAGCTCTTCACAGGTAGGTAGTACTTAGGAAATGGTCTGGAGGACTAGAACCTAAGTTTGTTTTTTTTAACTTTTCCTCCAAATGAAGGTAGGTGAATTCATCCCCTTAGTAATACTAACTTGTGGAGACTTCATACCAGGTGGACCTGGAAAGGATTTTCTGCTCTTCGTTTACCGGAAACAGGACAGGGCAGTCAGTCCCAGAATCCTTTTCGAGATCCAGTGTGATGGGACTGTTAAAGTTTTTGCACTGGTACCAGTATTGTTTGCACGCATTGCAATTAAAGGGGGAATGGATCCACTGTGTTCTTTGGCTGTGGCCTGAGAGTGCTTGCTGGTTTGTAAAGTCTAAATATTGAAAAACTTCAGGTTTGTTTTTGTCTTCCCTTTAAAATCCTTCAGGGAGAGAGAAGGGATGGTTTCTGAGGGGTTGTGACAGTATGGTTCAGTGTGCAACATACAGGTAGGTTATCAGCATAAGCTGAAATGTTTGCATGTTAAAACCTTTGACATCCTTTTTTGTTTTTCACTTCCTTCTTCCTTTTCTTTTTGTTCCCCCATCTTGAAGTTGAGGCCGAGGAAAGATGGTAGGAATAGAAGAAATGTGGCAAAACTGCTCTGTGCTTTCAAATTCCAAGCCAAAGTGCTGTTGCTGCCCCCCCCCCCCAAAGGTGTCTTAGGTACTGACCAATCTGTTGTGGACATTTGTTTCTACCACTGATTTCTGATATATTTTTTGTTAAATCTAGAGATTCTACCATAAGAGATGTTCTGCTCTATTGCAGCTCCTACAAACATCCATTTCAGGGCATAGTCTTGGTACGCAAGCAGCATCTGGAATGCTTGCTTCCCCTTTCCTTCAGGGACATTTAATTATCAAAATAACAGCAAATTCCAAATTTCAGCATACTTTTTTGTGATCTGAATACAGCTGAAGTCTAGCAAAATTTTTCCTGTTGACTCTAAGGTAACTTTTACCTCCTTGTCTGTCATAAGTCAAGTTCTGCTCTTGCTTCAAAACGAGCAGATAAGTCCTCATTTGGTGCAGTCATGGTTGAAATTTACTTAGCAGAGGGTTTCAGTATTAAGCTATGGGCTGCTTCTCCCCAGTCTCCCTTGCAATTCGTTGTGCTGGACGTCTTTCATCTAAAAGGTTAGTGGCTTTTGCTTGGGATCAGTGTGCTCTACTTATGTCCTTGCTGGTCTCTGAACACATTCCTTTTGTGTTAAGACTTGAAAGATTTGTAGATGTGTGATGTTCAGGTGCAGGATGTTAAGAGCTATGTTACTATTCTTAGTTTGTAAATTCTTTTGATACCATCTTGTTTTCTTTTGTAGGTATAAATAAAAACACTGTTGACAATAAGGTGTGAACTTTTTTTTTTATTCCTCAAAACTTTTGCTACTTCATTAGCACCTAAAACTGAAAGGAAGTGGGGATCATTGGTTTTAGTGCAAGCATTTAATAGGGCTGGGTACCTGGTAGGTAAATGGTTGGTATCTTCAGCTCATCAGTAAAATGGTGATAATGGCAATGGTGCCATCTAAGCTGGGTTCTGGCATAAAGGTACTAAGGACAGGGCTCATGTGAGCCACAATGAGGACTCAAGCCAGTTTTAAAGGTGAGGCACAAATTATGTCATTTCCTGCCAAAGCTAGTAAATTTGGTTTGCTTGTGGCTTGAAAGCAGTGCAGAAGTAAAATAATCATTTCATTCTTATTAACACCTTTGTATCCTGACTACCTCAATTTGGTCTACCTGACAAGTGAAAATTAGCCTAAAAATTGGCCCCTAATGTTTCAGCCAATCTTCAGTTGGGGCATTCTTGTGCACACGGGGACATTTCTAGGTTGGGCCTTGACATGAGTCTTACTGTTCCATTGATGGGTTAGTGGGTTAGTTAGGCACCCTAAGGTTTCTCCTTCCAGTTGATGTTTAGGCCTCAGACTTGTGTAGTTGGCCTCCACTTTTCGTCACCTCTGTTGATTTAAGGGAAGTCCTCCTGATGAGGTGTAGGTGGAATAACAGGTTCTTTGCTGAAATCCACACCAAGTGTTTTTCTGGCTTTATCATGTGATCTCAAGTCGTGGGTAAGTTCACCAAAGAATCAAAATGATTCTTTCACTGTCCTTGTTAAGGTATAGACCATCTTTGAAGGCCTTCAAATTGGCATTGGAAGACTTAATTTCTTTCCTTTAAGAACTGGAAGAAAGTGAAAATTAGATTTAACTGAACCAATCAAAGGACTGCTTTCTTTGTGCTGATTTTAGTATCGCTTAACATCCAGCTCACAGTGTTAATATTAAAGCCAAGGGGGAAATGGTCTCAGGTTAGCCAGAGACTGACTAACTCCTTTAGGGTGTAAACTTGGCATTTGGCCTCAATTCCTTTATTCCATGCTGGATATCACAGTCTACCAGTTCCTCACCTTGGTTCCCACCACCTTTTTCCTCTTCGCTGGCTTAATAGTTGAAGCTGTCCCACAATAGTCTCCCTATTTTGACTGCCTTTTCATATCCACAAAAGCTGGGTGGTGGTGTTTAGTTTGGTTTTTTTTTGGTACCGGGGATCGAACTCAGGACCTTGTGCTTGGCACAGCAGGCGCCAGAACCACTGAGCTAAATCCTCAGCCCATGATGGTGGTTTTTTTAACGAGCCCTCTGGTCACTACCCTTGGCAAAATATAAATCCATTACCCTGGTTTTCAAGACCCTGTGCGCTGACCTGGATAGCTCTGGTTTGTGGATTTGACCCCCACCAGCCTTTGTTCCTCAGTCACACCAAACTGGCTTCTTAGGAATGTTTTTCTGTTTTCCCAACTGGTACATCAGATAACACCTCCCACCTCTCTTGCCTATGCACGATTTGGACAGTACATGTAATACCTTTTTGGGTTTGTTTTTTTTTTAAATGGCATCTTTCCACATTACCACAAAAGGGAAGAGCTGTGGCACTGTTGCTATTCTCAAGCATTTATAGAAGAGATGAACAACTTGGCCGGGGATTTAGCTCAGTGGTTCCAGCACCTTCCTCGAAAGCACAAGGTCCCGAGTTTGATCCCCGGTACCAAAAAAATAGATGAACAACTCAAGCCACTACTGAGAACACTGCTGTCCGGCCAACACCTACCTTTGGTCACATACAAGTAGAAGAAGTCACAGTAGAAGATGGTTTGCACTACCCCAGATACCACTGCAATCTGGTCATAGAAGTTCTCAGTCTGGTAGCGCCTGATCCAGTTGGCCAGGTAGAGTGCCCTGTACACCCCCAGGAAGAATAGGTAGTGTGTGGTGATGGTCTCAGCCTCTCCAGTCTTGCTGATCATGAAGAGCTGGGGCAGGATGGCCACTGACTCCAGGTAGATGGAAAAGGTCCAGAGGATCTGGCAAAGCAGAGCCACAGAGGAGGATGAGCAAGGCTAAGCAGGGTCTGTCCTGTCTACCGGAACCCAAATATTAGACATTACTACAGACCACACAAATGAGCAAAAAAGTTTTCAAGTTCTCAAGTGTTTTGGCAGGGGAAGGGGTATGCTGGGCATGCAACCCCGCAGTCTTGTGTATTCCACCAAGTGCTCAACCATTGAGCAACACCTCAGCATTCGGGAGGTTAAGTGTTTTAATTTGCTTTTTTTGTGTGTGGTGTTGAGGATTGATCTGAGGTCTCGTGCATGCTAGGCAACCACTACTATTAAGCTATACTCCCGGCCCCAAATTATTATGTCATAATACTCCATCACTATGCAAATACAAATTGGATTTTTTTTTTTTAAAGATTCATATATAGTACATACTGCTTGTTTCAGAACACAGCATGATGTTTCTGTGGAACGATTTTTTTTTAAGGTTGCAGTTCTGTTGAATAAACTTGCATAATTGAAGGCAGTTTCTTAAAATACAGTCCATAAGTAGCAGCAGCAGGATCTCCAGGAATGCTTGTTGCCCACATTTTTGCAGGCCTACGTGCTGAGTTATCATCTCAGCCTGAACTGTGCTCCTAGGGTCTGTTAATATGCTGGACTAAAGTCTCCACTGCCAGGACTGGTTGGGGGGGGGGGGCTTGTGGACTCCTTGGCTATTAGAGATGTAGAGCAGCAGACACAGTTGTGACACAGGCCCAGACTCTTTTGTGGGCCACAGGGAGGGATGCTGGGAGACCCAGCCGCCCTCGGATCAGCACTCACTTCCAGTGGTGTGAAACTGTAATTCTCCAGGAAGGAAAGGCCAATGACTGGGACCAGAAGAAACTCCAGGCGGAATGTGTCATTCTCAATGTCAAACGTTTTACGAAATTTCCCATAGATCATGTACACTGTGACATAGGAACAGAGGAGAAAAACTACCTAAAAAGGGAGAGAGACAGGAATCTGAAGTCATTTCCCAGGCTTTAACAAACCCACAGGCCAGAGCCCTTGATAACATGCCCAAGTGAAGTGTTCTGCAATACCTTTTGGGCCCGTGGCCTACAGTTCCAACTTACACTTGTGAAGTAATTCCATGCTTCTAACGGACTGGCAATGTTACTAGAGTCAGTGGTATCCTAGTTGTCCCCTTCATATACAGTGTATTGGAGAAAAAACAGGACCAGCAGGGCAGTGGTGCATGCCTGTAATCCTATCACTCAAGAAGCTGAGGCAGGAGGATCACAAATTCAAGCCTATTCTGCCATTTTCTTTCTTTCTTTTTTTTTTTTTTTGGTACCAGGGTTCAAACTCTGGACCTTGCACTTGTGAGGCAGGCAGCAGAACCACTGAGCTAAATCCCTGGCCCTCAACCCTATTCTGTACTACAGAGGGAGACCCTGACTCAAAACACCAAAAATAATGAAACAAAAAGCACGATCTGTCTTTCTCAGAATTTAGCAGTGGCGGTCTAGGCTCCAAACCCCTCCCCCAACACCCTGGATGTGGACGAATGGCTTGTAAGCATTCTTCACAAAGGCTGATGCCCCATAGATTACTTGGCTATGGTTCCTTCCGAAAAGCTCTGTGCAGGGGCCAGGGATTTAGCCCCTCACCTGCCTCACAAGCGCAAGGTCCCGAGTTTGATCCCCAGTACCGCAAAAAAAAAAAAAAAAAAAAGCTCTGTGCAGTAGCTGTCCCTTGGTGGGTAGTGGTCCCCAACAAGAGGCACCAAAATCACACAGATGGCTGTCCTCACGGTGGCTCAGTTGCCCCCCCCCCCGAACTGCTTCTTGAAGCCTCACCTTCATTACTGTATTGTAGACGGAAATGAAGTTGGTGAAGAGGTCCAGGTACCTGGTGGTGAAGACAAGGGCAAAAAGGATCTGGCTCTTCCCAGAGATGCCTGTGCCAGAGAGGATAGAAGACAGTGAGAAGAGAGCCCCAGGCCACCCGCCCACCAGAGCCTGGAGCCAGGACAGCCTGGAGACACCCTGTCTCATCCGGAGGGTCAGGCAACTCAGCTCTCCCTTCAGCTCTCTGGAGTGCAGCTCCTCCTATTCATCTACAATCTGTCTCCCAAATAAAGACACGAACACCAATTTCTTGGTGTCTCTCCATGTACCCACCAAAGTTCTTGCTCTGAGGAGGATGTTGGCGGTGTGACCCAGCTGGGCTGGGGTGTCAAGGCTTCTCTGAGCTCCACCCCCAGGGCTCCAGTGGCAATCTCCAGAGCTCTGTCCCTCCCAGGAGAACCAACACTGACATCACAGTGTGCACTCACCAGTGAGATGGAAGCCAGCAGAGTAAGGCACTGGCCAGGGGCCCACTCCATTTAATTTTCCAAAATGCAAAGATTTAGCAAGCCTATGTCTTAGTTATAAAAGTTATGCCTACTTTTACTCTTTATAAAACAAAAATCAGGTTTGGGGCTGGGGATTTAGCTCAGTGGTTCCGCTGCCTGCCCCGAAAGCAAAAGGACCCAAGTTCGATTCCCAGTACCAAAAAAAAAAAGTCCCTGGGTTTCATCCCCAGTACTGCAAAGAAACAGAGACAGAGAGAGGAGAGAGAGAGAGACAGACAGAGAGAGAGACAGAGAGAGAGACAGAGAGAGACGGAGGGAAGGAAGGAAGAAAGGAAGGAAGGAAGAAAAAAGGTATAAAAATTTTAAAAACCCTCACGTCTTTCGGATCACTGTGCACGTGTACATGACGCATGCACATAGGTAGCATGGGTGTGTGTGTTGTGTTCCCTCTGCCTTTCCTTGGGTCCTTTGTCCTCTCTTTTCATTTGTTATCAAAGAACTTCAGGTTTCAAACATCCAGAAAGAGTCTCCCTCACCCCCACATCCCTTCACCCAGCCTCCACGAATGTGGACCTTGCCTCTGACAACCCGTTTGCCTCACACTTCATCCAGTCAAAGGCCAGAGCAGAGCTGGTGCTTCTGAACAACTGCAGACCTCGCCTGTCCCACCAGTTTCCCACCGGGCCCTCCTCCCGCTCCAGGGTCCAAACCTGGAGTCCCTGCTGCTCTTCTTCCCACGCTCCCTGGGTTCCTCTGACCAACAATGGCAAATCATGGAGGCGGTTCCAGGGCCAGGCATGGATATACCTCCATCACCGCTGTGGACCTGGCCCGTCCTTGATCTGTCAGTGTCCTGAGCACTCTCCCCTGGCTCCGAGGCCCCCACACTGCTGGCTGCTCCCTCCTGTGGGTGCACCCTCCACACCACCTAATCCTTGGCTGCCAGGTCCCCTCCTGCCATCTGAGCCACCCCTGCAGCGGGTCACCCCCACTCCCTACCTCCAAGCTCTCCTCTGAGTTTTTTGGTTTTTGTTTTTTTTTGGTACCGGGGATCGAACTCAGGTCCTTGTGCTTACGCAGCAGGCAGCGAAACCACTGAACTAAATCCCCGGCCCCTCTCCTCTGAGTTTCGACCTGTGTTTTCACCTGTGTGGGGGTGCCCACCACCCCCCAACTCACCACAGCCCACCCCAACCGCATTTCCCTTAAATTTCCTCCTCTTCCCTTGCTCAAAAATGCCCCCCACCTCATCCTCAAGTCAGCAAACTCAGGGCCACCCTGGAGTCTCCCTCCCCTGCCTTCCTCACATCCACTCAGTCACCAAGCCCCACCAGCCCCCACATTTCTTGGCTCTTCTTCCTGACTGCAGTGCCCCCAGATGGCCCAGCTACCCTCCCCTAGTGACTCACAGCCTGGTCTCCCCAGATCCTTCATTGCTGTTCACCTGCCCCCCAGTTCCATTCTCCATCCAGCAATCCAGGGCTTTTTTGTTTGTTTTTTGAGACAGGGTCTCACTATGTAGCCCAGCCTGGCCGCAAATGCATGGCAGTCCTGCCTCAGCCTCCTGAGTGCCCAGATTACAGCAGTGCACCACCACACCCAGCAAGGACTATTTTTAAAATAAAATTTTGCTTAAGTCACTTAAGTGGCTTCCAAATGTACTTAAAGACTCAAAGCCTTATCTAGCCCTGAGGTCCTTCCTGGACTGTTCTCTCCCAGGTCCCCCTTGGTCTTGCCCTCCTGCAGCCGAAGCCACAATTCTGGGTTTCATTGAAACTGGAGTGTCTCAGAGCACGGCACTGACACAGGAGATGGACCTCCTCAGGGTCAGCTCCCCTTCATCCCTGGATGGTGCCTCCTCTCACCCTCCATGGCCAGGCATTTTGGGGGTGAGGGAATATTTTTACTGACCAAAGAAGGACATGCTTGCCTATCACATTCTGGACAGTGTGAGGTCCACACCTTACCTGTAAAATGGGTGCCCACCTCTCACACATGGGCAGCACTGATGTGAGAAAGAAGGGGTCCCATTAGAGTCCCCAGGGGGCCTGGGATCATTTGCTTTGGGGAGAGGGCACAGTGGGCTGGGTGCAGGCAAAGGAGTGTAGCCGGGATGGGGTCCAGACCCAGCGCATCTTTGGGCTTGTAGATGTGAAGCCGCCTCACCAAGCCCCGAGAGCCTTCCAGAGGGCCCGTGCCCTATGTAGGATGTCTCTGTCCCAGAGGCAGCCTGCCGTCTCCTGCCCTGGGCCTTACATTTCCCTTGCCTCTTTGGGGGCCCTGGTGACCTTGAGCACAGTAGTGTTCCCACTTTTGAAAACGTGATTCTCACTGAAGCCAGGCCCATGACAGAGCAGAGAACCTGAGCCGGGGCCAGCCCAGGTCCTGAGAGGCCCAGCGAGCACACATGGGACCCACTGATCAAGATAGACAGGAAACAGAGGCCCAGGGTCCCACAGGGAGTCGGTGAAAGGTGAGAATAAGGCCCACACCTCCAGCCTCAGGGCTGGGCCAGCTGGGGTCCTGCTGGGCCCTGTCCCTCGGGCGGATGGGCCAGTGCAGATCTGTCTGCACACACAGGCCCATCCAGGCCAGCGCGCTGCCCTTTTTCTTTCCCTGCAGCGCTTAACATCCCTGAAAAACTGGTCACTCTGACTGTCCCTTGTTGGTGGTTTCCTGCCCTGGGTCTGCTCTGCCAGGCAGGCGCCCTGGTGGGGCTCTGTTCCGGGTGCCCAGCACGGTGCCAGGGAGACCAGGCAGACAACAGTGCCCCTCCAGTCGGTGCATGGAGCTCAGCGACCAGTTCCAACCCATTCTCCCACCTCCACCTGAGTCTCTGCCCCACTTCCTGGGTCAGAAAGACAAAGGTCCAGAGTGGCTCTCTCTGAAGCGACCTCACGTCTACACCCACATCTGCTGCCACAGAGCCTCGCCTCACAGGTGGCAGCTCCACCCTGCTCCCTCCACATCCCTCCAGATTCCAGACAGTCCTGCTTCAGGGCCTCTTCTGAGCTTCCTCCCAAGCTTTCCATGGCTCCCCAGTCCCAAATTCCGGGACCCATCTCCCTCCAGACCCTTCCTGGAACATGCCCTATGCTGTGACTTCTTTCTGTGTCTCTGCACCTCCTTCTTGGACCTACACACACACACAGACACACACCCAGGGCCAGCACAGAGCTGCCCTTCCATGAAGCCTTCAGCTGCTCTCTGCCTCTCCAGCCCGCATGGAGCCTGGGGTCACCCCTGTGCCAACCACAGGCGGCATCCGGACCACACGAGGGGAACAAAGACGGCTGCAGGAGGCTCAGGCAGCCCCTGCCTGTGCTGGGTCTCTGTCCACCACCGGCACCAGCCCATCCTCGAACTTCTCCCAGCCCCAAGGCTGCTGGTCAGCTCATGCCACATCACAGGCAGGGGAAGGAAGGGGGCCCAGCCCGGGAAGAAGGCTGGGAGGGGCAAAGGGAGCAGAGGGAGAAGGAAGAGAAGACCCGAGTTTGGGGGCCACTTCCTGAGTGCGCACCCTCTCTTCCCCCGCTCCCCCGGGAGGGCGGAGGAGCAGAGAGTGACCTCTGGGATCCAGAGGGTGGCACCTCCTTCTTATCTCGCTAACCGTGGTAACGAGGCCAGCTCCGAGGAGGCCAGGGTGAGGTGTAAGTGGAGGCACAAGCCCACCCTTGACCCCAATTTCCGTGGCCCTCCTTCTGTGACACTGTACAACCTAATCTCTTTTTTCTTTTTTGGAAGCTGAGCTCCTTTAGAGCCAAAGTCCCCACCCTACACAGCCATTCTACAGCGCCCCTCCGGCACACAGGCCGGGCTGGGGCCGGCCGCGAGGTGCCCCTCCCTCCGGGGGGACGCCTCACCCTTGCAGCACTTGGACCTCCAGATCTTCCCCAGGAGCAAGATCATGGCCAGGAGGTGGCTCAGATCGCCGAGGATTCGGAACGCGTTCATTGCCCAGCCCGCCGGTCCTGTGCGTGCCCAGCAGCGAACTTTCAGGGAACTTTCTGATGCGTAGGGCGGCTGCCACGTCCCCGGCCGCGGCCTCGCAGCCCCCCAGGCCCAGCCCGCGCCTACCGGCTCCGCGCGCTCCCGGCCGCCGGGCGGTGACGTGGCGTGGCCGGCCGGGCACAGGGTGGAGAGCCAGGAAGCAGCGCCGCCGGGAGATCCCGCCTCCCGCCTTCCCGCCCTGCGCCGGGCGGAGCTGCCACAAGGGTCCCCGCCTTACCTCCTGGGAACCGGAATCATCTGAGGGAACCCTAGGCAGGTCACCGACTCCCAGTCTCTCAATTTCACTCTCTGTTCAGTCCCACTCCCCCTCCTTTTATTTTTTCTGAGACAGAGTCTTGTAACCCAAGCTGACCTCAAAGTCGCAGCGATCCTCCTGCCTCAGCTTCCCGAGTCCTGGGATTACAGGCCCTCAACTCTTGACCCACCTGAAGACACTGGTGCCTGAGTGAAATGGGGTCCTGTCTGCCAGTGCCACCCACTGCTGTTGTCCTGCCCTGGAATCGGAACTCCTCATGGGAGTGCAGGAACTGGGTCCCTCCCTTACGAGGATGAGAATTTGGATATCCAAGCTGATGCTACCTGACCTCACAGGGTGGGTGACAGTAATGACAGCTTCACGGGTGGAGTCCGGCTGACCTCTGTTCCCGCCTCCTTGCTGTGGGCCTCAGTTTTTCCATCTGTAAAAAAGGTTGCTGCATGAAAGAGATGATTGTCAGGAGTATCCAGGGCTTTCTTCTTCTCAGTATGATGTTAAACAGCGGTGCACAGGCCAGGGGAGATCCCAGAGGATTGAGCAACAGGAAGGGTAGAGAATCTCTGGTGAGCAGGGGTCCTCCCAGTGCTGTGTGGCCTGAGCAGGTCGACCACCCTCTCTGGGCATCAGTCTCTGCAAGTGTTAAGAGTGGAAGGGATGAGCCAAGGGCCCTCACTGTCCTCTTCTTGAGCCCTATTACCCCTTCCTGACTCAGGACCCTCATCCTTCTCCAAAGAATTGGCCTTGTCCCACACTCTCCACCTGCCACAGATGGCCAGAGGGGCCTTCTCCTGTCAGTCCCTTCCATGGTCCCCAAGCCATGGCCATGACTCCAGTGCCAGGCATCCTCAGAGGCTCAAAGTGTGGCCCAAGGACTCAGAGTTGCTACAGGCTGCTGGGAGCAGGTCAGCCCCTCCCCAGACCTCTTGCTGGGGGAGGTCAGACTCTGTAGTCTCCCCACTCCCCAGACAATTGGATTCATGTGCACATGTGAGTGAGAGGCGCCATCTAAGCAGCAGGACAAGGGAGGCACTGCAATTCCCATTTGCACAAGGGGATGGGCACAGATTTGCTCCCGGCCACAGAGCCATTGAGGTGCCCCAGAGCCTGGATCCCAGCACTGCCTGACTGCAGGGCTCATGCAGTTGCATCATCCATTACACTGTGGTCTTCGGGACAGGTGACAGCTCCCTTTCGTGAGAGGTGGGTAGCAGGGGTGGACCCCATTTGTCAGGGAGGACCAGGCCAGGGTCAGGCATGCCAGACCCACCTCCATTCCTTCCACAGGTGATGGAGCCAGAGAGGGGAGCTGCAGGGACTGAGGCACCCTGGGAGGAGGAGCCAGCACCATCCCTGAGCAGTGCCACAGAATGGGCCCTCTGGTCCCTGATCCCCCTCAAAACTCTCCCTGGATGCCCCCTCCAGCAGGTGCCCAGAGGAGGCGGTGGCTATTTAAATCCCTCAGGTGTGGCTGCATTCTCTCTGCCCAGCCAGCTGGCATCTCCCGCTCAGCGCCCACCTCCTCCTCAAGCCAGGGAAGAGCACGTGCATTTGCCATTTGGTGAAACATCTGTCCTCCTGGGAGGCAGCCCCAAGTGCCCAGGGAGGGGGCCAGGCGCAGTTGGCATCCTCTACTTCCCTTTTGTCCCAGGACACCTCCAGGGACCTGGCCAAGACTAGGAGGCAGCAGGGGAGAGAACTCTGCTGGGTGAGTCTTGTTCAGGGCCTACAGTACGGGCAGAAGCTGCTGTGCCCTCACTCAGGGCCTCAGCTTTCCTAGCTGTTCAATGGGGATGCAGAGGACAGAATGGCTGCTTGTTTGTGCTCTTTGCATCCCATCTTTCCAGCCTCCCTCCATGAAATTGATGCTCAGTCCTCATTTTACACAGGAGGAAACTGAGGCTCAACTTCCTCTCCCCCACCCCACCACATCGATCTCATTTCCACAAAGCTCTAGCACTTGGTTCGAGTCCTTAGCCCTGCCTCTTTCCTACCCATCCTGTATCCCAGGTGGGGTGTTTCTCAAAGCTTCCTATGGAGGAAAGAGGAACCCTTACTTTTTGTTTGTTTTCAGTGTTGGACTTTAAACCCAGGGCCTTCATACTGCGCTATATCCCCAGCCCCTTTTTTACTTCTTATTTTGAGACGGGTTCTCACTAGGTCACTAAATTGCCCAGGCTGGGCTTGAGTTTACGATCCTCCTACCTCAGCCTTTCAGAGTGCTGGGATTACAGGCCTGTGTCACCATGCCCAGCTTCCTTACCCACTTAAAACACTGCACCGTAGTCCATGCCAGCCCTCCAGCCATCTGAGACATTGTTCACTCTCTGTCTCTGCTGAAAAGTAGACCCCAGAGAGCCCCTCACTCCTCTGAGCCTCAATTTTCTGACACCTATAAATGAGCCTGTGTAGGGATGTAATGGAGGGGAAGCCAAGAGGGACATTTCATTCAGCTCCAAAGGCAAAGACCATTTTTCTTTTTATTAACAAAAAGCAAATTGTGTGTTCAAGGTCAGAGTGGGGAAGTTGATCTCTTAGAAAAAAATCTGTCTACATAATCTTTTTCTCCGTGCTGGCCCTAGCTGGCACTACTGTGTTAACTATCCTGAATGGAAGGAAATGGATGTGGATGGTAAAATCACATCCTTGGGACACCCCACCTCTGATCCTCCTCTGGGGCAAGGGGAAGGAAGGAGGATCTATGGCCCAGGCTCCTGGGACTCCCCGGCAGCCCCAGAGGCCACCAATGTGTTGCAGGCCCCAGGCAAGTGCTTGCTCCTCGCTTGAGTGGGAAGGAATAAGCTCTTTCCAGCAGCCCAGAGGTCTGGGCCAGGCGCCTCGCCTCGGAGGAGTCCATTTCCTAACCCGGCAGGGGTGGGCTGCTCTCCAGGTGTTCCCAGAGCTCTTTCCTGGCTCAGTATCTTTTGAGTGCTGTCCAGCAGAGCCAGAGCCACTGCATTTACAGAGCTAGAAGTGGAGGTCCTCATAGCTTTCTTCCACTTTTAGTCCCAAGTGGGTTTATTGAAGACCAGCTGTGTGCCATGTGCCTTGGGGCTGAATGTGGATGCGGCCATGGCCATTGGGAGCTTTTGGGCATCCTCACTTAGGGTAGTCTCCGGGTGGGGAGGAGATTGTGGTGAAGGAAGAAGTCGGGGAAAGTGATGAGCTACATGAGCTTTGAAGGGTGAGTGGGTGCTTGTCCTAAGTCAAAATCTGGAAGAAGAAAGGAGTCCTAAGAAGTAATAAATGATAAAAAGACAAGAGACATGATATGGCCTACTCTCCCAAAATATTGTATTTGTACTGCTCTTTAAAAGAAACCAGGGAGGAGAAGACCATAGAAAAATCATAGCAAATTCAAGTCTGAAGCTCCACCGACTGGAGCTCCCCCAAGTCTAGATTATTCAAATGCGTGGAATCAGTTTTTACCGCGATAACCTTAAGCACTGACCTCGTATGGTAGGGCCGAAGTTGGCTAAGTACTAAAGCATTTTGCAAGGGGTAAACTGAGCCCCAGAGAGCGACTGTAAAAGCAAAGCTGGAGGAAAACACGGAAATCGCACTTCCTTAAAAGGGGACCTCTCCCTCGCCGCTCTTTCCCCCAGGTGTAACAATTCTGGGCGCTGGAAGGTTCTGTATCTTTATCCGGGGGGTAGTGACACAGGTTTATACATCTGCAAACATTCATGTAACTGTACTACTGTTTCTAAGTTATATCTTATTAAAAGGGGGAAAAAGACACGATAACCCCGGCCACGCCGCCGCCCCCCCCCCCCCGCGTCCTCACTGCTGGGGACAGGTGTCTTTCTTTCGGAGGGAGACCCGGAGCGCCGCTGTCTCCGCGCCGGCAGGGCGCCCGGAGTCGTGTGCGGCGTCTGGGCCTGGCCAGGTTCCCACGGCAACCGCAAGCTGGCTCTCAGCGTCTCCAGAGTGACGAGGCGCGAGCCAAGACCCGGAGCCTGGATAATAGAACCGGAGGCCCAGAGCACGGCTGGAGGGAGATCGCGACTGGCCAGTGAGAGGCCGCCCTTGGTCTAGCGCTAGGCTTTCCGAGGGCACCCTGCAAACACCACTCCCCAGCCCTGACTGTGGCCACGGAGCTGCTGCTTCACGCACCCCTGGGGATTCCTTCTCAGCTTTGCAGGTGGGGAGAGGAGGGTTTGGCTCATCCCCAACATCACCAGCGAATGGGGCAGAGAAAGGCCCTGACCCCAGTGGCCTGCTTCTCTCCCCGGGAAGTGCACCAAGTGGAAGCCACGCGGGCCTGGGGCGCTGGAAACTCCTTGGGTTCTGGTTCTGGATCTGCTAGTAACTTGACTTGTGGTCTTGAAGTCCTCTCTCCTCTCTGGGTCTCAGAGATGAGACACCATCACCAGTATCTCAGAGTAGCTGTCAGCAAGTGTGTGAAAAGATCGAGTGTAAAAGCAGCTTGTAAACTGTAAAGTGCCTTGCACATCTCAAGGATCATCACCGTCGCCTCTCTATTGTCGTCTTGTCCTCTCCGTCACCCCAGCCCCAAGGGCAGCCTCAGTGACATCCAGCTGCACAGTGAGCCTGGTCCCAGAACTCTCTCCATGCCCAGAGATTTCCAGCCTGCAGGTGAGTCTGCTCCACGTTCCCCTCCCCACGGAATGGGCCCGGGGCAGCTCTCCAGAGGTCAGGAACGCTCTGGTCCCCAGACTTAGAGGGAACCACAAAGGCAGCACCCTCCACCCGTGCACCCGCACATGTCTCCCACCCTCTGCCCTGTGGCTGAGTTGTAGAAGTTCCCCAGTAAGTGAGGCTGTCTGGGATCCCAGGACCTGGC